CATTCAAAACTTTATCCAAATCCTCTTCACAGACACTTCGAAAACGCCAAGAGGCGGCCGTCATTTTGTTAACAAGGGCACACTGCTACGCTATTCACTGTCTATCACCGAATAGATAATGAGTAGCGTAGCCAATCAGAGAATGGCATTCATGATAGAACGCTACTAAAACTCGATAGAAACACGGAACATGTTTTCTATTTCTTAAGTATAAGTAATCGAAAGTACTCAGAACCTTGCTATTCGAACTGCATTACGTCATACCTCGTGTGATTTTGATGACTGTGCAACAAACCCTCCACCATGCACGTGAAGTAAAAAGCCGTCACTTTTAGGTTTTGGTGATCGGCCATGATGGGTGGAATTCTGTTTGCCATCTTTGCTCTGAGGTTGAAACACAAAAATGATTGGAGAAAATACAGTAATATTGAACAAAGAGCTTATCACTTATCAGTAACATAGTAGCCTGTTGCAGGTCCACGGTAGGTGGAGAGAATTGAAAATCGGGCAAGTGAAAGAAAAAGTGAGTGGGCTCTGGGCGAGAGAAAGGGAAGGGCAGCCCAGGCCCCGCTCATTTTTCATTCCCCTACCCACTATTTTTTCCGCTGACCATGTCACACTAGACTTGATTCTTTCCAAATGAGAGCAGCTCAATATTGATCCCAACTTATTCCCCACGGGAGAACATGTAATTTTGCACAGTACTATTTTATATTTTTATGCCATCAAATATTGTAGATTGTAGATTGTATCTTGTAATCGTAAAACACAGTTAACACCCAAGGTCTTCCCAAAGTTGTTTTCAAGATTTCTAAAATTGATTTTCCAAACTGTTTATATGTTCCTATTCCTATATCCTTTGTTCCCAATGTTTTTATTGTGTTCAATCAGCTTACTTGTAAAGTACGATTTGATATTGCGGTACGAAACCAGAGTAAATACTCTTAGAGTGTCTAGTTTTAAAAGTTATCTATCATCTCCTACCTGTCCATCCCTCCACTCGTATGAGAGAAGTCGCACTTGGACTGGGGCTAGACCTGACCAGGAACAGGGGGGAGCAATACTCACAGACTCGCCTTTCAATGTGACGAGTTCAAAAGGATCAGGAGGGATATGGAATACTCTGTTCACCTTCATTGCCGAACAAACCAGCAGTGGAACATGCTAAAATGCAACAGAACAAGTGATCATTATTTTGAGGCTAGTGAGGTGGCGGGGGTGGAAGAGGTGGCGACAAAGATTCAAAGATCATGCGGTCCTTGTTCAAAGATCGCACGGGTTCCACCCTGTTTGTTATTTCCTCTGATCCTCCTAAAGATGAAAAATTAATTTTCTACTGTTTGCCATTTCTTAAATAGCATGGGAATTCATCGGTCTAACCAGACAATGCCAGAAGAAATCATCACTGCTGCCAATGGGACACCATTGCAAAATTTCACAGATCTGCTTTGGCCCGCCTATCTCTCTGCAATGTCTCAAAATGGTACGTTTGGTGACCACATGCTGCATATTAACATGCTGCATATGAACTGTACAATGTCAAGTTTAAAGTTCTTTCATCTAAATTATCCACCTGGGTACACAACCACCATTTCTCCAATGGCTGCAGACCCGCTATGTACTTTCAACTTGGAAATTTTGCAAAGAGTTTGTGAAACTATTTTATAAGGAAATGATCAGTGTCAACAAATGAAGGCTACTGTTGCATTCACCACTGAGAAGGTAATAAATGGGTGTTATTGTTTTGTTTGTACTTATCTGTTTTTCCATGTCAAATTAGCATCTAGACTGGTAATGCTTTGCGGTGAAAAATTTGCAAACTAAAATGCAAAAATATGGACTATTTTCTTCCAGCAATATTTATTTATGGCAGTGCCAAAAAGCCTGATGTGGACCTTGCATATTTTATTATTATATGGTTGTGTCTCACAAGGACTGGGAACTATCGAATTCACGAATTTGATTAGCGGAAATCAATATTGAAAGCGGTCTAGATTTTCTCATCAAGACCGGTATCTACACCGGTAATGTTTACGGTGAAAAATTTGCATACTAAAATGCAAAAATATGGACTGTTTTCTTCTAACAATATTTATTTATGGAAGTGCCTGATGAGAAAAGAAAAGTAAAGAGGAAAAACAGACTTTGGCAGAATTAAGTTCAGCTCATTGCCGTTCGCAAGCAAAATGTCAGCTAGTACAAACCAGTTTCATTAAACAAATTAAATTTTGCTTGTTTGCCATATAATAAACATCTTATTAACTGAGCTTAGCCATCTGTATGGGAGAATCTTGACCTCAGTCGTGTGCCCAGACCTCACTGCGTTCAATCTGTACTCACTACCTCGGTCCAGATTCTCCCATAAAGACCCCTGCTCGGTTAATTAGAGCTAATTACAAAATAGCCCTTGCTTACCAAAACAAAGAAAGGGGCCAGCCCCACTTCACAAAAAGTGTTATTTCTCAGTGATGACCCCCTCTCTCTGTAGCCCCAGCCCATCTGCACCAATAACCTGCTTGAATACACATGCCATGCGCATTTTTACCGTAGACATCTGATTTAGAAGTTTGACATATTGGCTTGTATAACATTTTGCATCAACTTTTGTGTTAGTATTACATTATGCGTCAGTATTCCTTTTCCCGGCGATTGTTATTACAGTTTGTGTCAGTATAATATTTTGCAGCGATTATTACTTTTGCGGCATAACGTACCTGGATCCCATAACCTTCTGTCAAACTCCAGAAAGCTTTGCAAAAATCCATATTAGTCTTCTGAGTGACATCCACAATCATTTTGGCCCTCATTTCGGGGTTCACAGTATATTTCCCACTGTTCAGGAAAGAGACTGTGGCAAGTGCCACACTGCTCATTTTGTGTCGACGATAACCTTCTGCAAACGAGGCCATAGCTACACAAACAACTTGTAAGAAATGTCGTAAGCCAGTGGAGAACTGAAAATAAGCCATATGAAAAATATTAAAATATATGGTTTTTTTGCCATTTTGGTGTGAACATGGGTTATAGATTTTGCTAAGTATACTTAGTTTTTAATGGTGTTTTAAGAATTGTATGATGTATGTCTTTTCATTGGGCTTTCCATTTTCAAACTAGAAGTTATCAATTGAAATAATGTGATTAAGTGTGATTAACCCTTTCAGATCTTAATTTAAAGGCCAGGTCCAAAAACCGGCATGGAAAATGACATATCATAGTGCAAAGTAGAGCCAGGAAAGCTGGATGGTACATCATGATTGCCTCCATAATTTCCAAGGAGTAAAAACGTGCTGGTGAATGTTTCTATATGACATACAGCTGATGCGCACAACCATATTCATAAGATTTTCTTTTCAGGAGCTATAGCCTGGACAAGTTAAACAATTTTTTAACTTTTAACATTTCCTAGTTTTATTTTTATTTTTGTTGTTTTTTGCAAATAAGTATTTTTCAAATTTTTAGTCCTTCAGCGATAAGTATATTTCAAATTTTTAGTCTTTCGTCATTTTTTTCATAAATTTGTAAATAGTAATTAACAAAATAATAATCAGTATCGGTAATCAAATGGCGACAAATGAAATAAGAAATAATTTTTCCTCACCAAAAAGCTCGGGAAATTACAAGAATTTTGACAAAACACGCATGAAATTATGTCCAAATTTCACCTGTCACCATTCCATTACCCATACTAATAATAGCAATAAGAATATTTAGGGCCTGTTTACAAGGAGGGAGGGTTACCTTAGCAAGCAGGTTAACCCTAGCCAGAGAACAAAAGATAGCCCGGGTTTACAGGCAAAATTTCACATGTAGGGTAACCCTACAACTCGGGACAAATTAATGCGCAGTTACACTCAAAGGGTCTGGAAACAATTAGAAAGTTAACCCCGGTAGGCAGGTTAACCCTGCCTGGAGTGTTTACAAAGGAAAAAGTTAACCTGCCTGCCAGGGTAACCCTAGCACGCAGATAGGGTAACCCGCCTACCCGGGTAACCCTGGCTGCTTTGTAAACACGACGAAGGAAAAAAGAGGAAATGTGTGAGTGCTAGGGTAACCTGCTTGCTAGGGTAACCCTCTCTCCTTGTAAACAGGCCCTTAAAGATGTTATCACCAAAAAAGTGTGACAGATTATACTTACAATCATAGGTTTTTGACTTCTTTATTGTATTGAGAAATTTCATGCCAAATGCTGCCATGGCAATGTTGTAATTTCACATGTGAAATAATTAATTTGTAAATTAATGCTGAAATTTCGTGCCAAAATTGTCCATGATATTATTATTATTGTTCCTAGGGGATAACATCAATTTACATTAGTAGCACAATCACTTATACTATTTTTATGACCCACTCAGCTAACACTTAGGCCGTTGAATACAAATACAAACATTGATTTTGTTTTCTTTACCGTAGCAGATCTTTCAAGAAAAAACCCCAGTAACCTTCAAATATGGCACACAGCCTAACAGCAACCCTCAGTGAACAAAACATATGCACTACACAGAAAGATATTTTACTTTCAAGATGATTATCGACTAGTTATGTCAAACCATTATCTGGTGCCGGAGAAGGAAATTGGAAAAACATATCATTATAAATTATTCTAATGACATCATAAAGTTCATGATAAGCATCATGTTGAAGTTATCGACTTAACACCTACCTGAAATCCTAAAGTTCTTCCATAAAAGCACTCTCTATCCAGCTGTTCAACTTCCAACATAACTTTAGAGTCAAAACTCTCCGGAAATAAATTGTCTGGTACGCTATCCTCGATCACGAGTTTCGCAAATTGTAGCAACTGAGTTGTTCGTTGGAAAACATTGGCAAATGCCTCCACTTCTAAGCTATAGTGATGCGATCGAAAATAAAATCTGTCTCGATGAGTCTGGCAATAAGCGGACAGTTCTGTAACGGAACGAATGCATTGTTCAACGAGTCTTAGCAAGCTCCTGTAGCCATTTCCTTTAGCGTCAGTGCTGTAATCGTACAGTGGTGCCGCCTTCGCTAGCAAAATCGCACCTTCTTCCAAAGAATCTATAGTTGATAGCATCAATTTAAAGCCATCATAAAACTTCTTGTAAACTGCTTTGGACGTGTATTCTTCAAAATATCCTGTATTGTCGGCAAGGATTCGTTTCAGGTGACTGAAAAGAAGTGGAAGAGAATCGTAGTCACCTAAGTTGAGGTTGTGGGAAGCTTGCTTCGTGCCCGCCATCTTGAAAACCCGGCTCGGCTATTAATTAACAAAATTCAATAAACACGACGCTTAACACTCTTTCTAAGCCTCCGATTTTCGTCAAAGCCCTCCATGCAGGTGGAATCTGTCCTCTAGCCACCGAAGGTAAGCATATTTCTCATTTTCAATCTCCAGACAGCTGCAATATCTAACCGCAGAGGGTGGCATGTTTTAAGAAAACGCGCCTAAACTATACAATCAAACCAAAACAGATTCATAAATTCATTGTTGGCGGTCTCCCTCGTACGCTGATAAACGATATCTGCAGTTTCGCTGATATAAAACCGCCAAAGGTTTCAGCCGAACACGCAGAAAAGTACAATTTTCAGTTTTCTGCAGCCTCGTTCACATGCACATCATCTGAAGTATGGACTTTGGACTGGACGACTGAATAAGAAAAACAGATCCGCTAGCCCGCGAACGCCGACGTATTTGCGGCTATCGCTTGTCCGAAATCAATCTCTCGCAGACGTTATTTTTGGCGGAGACAAGCGACGGCTTGTCTCTGAAGTCCCGGGGGATACACCCTTATATGGGCTATATAGGTATTTGCGGCCCCAAAGGTTAGGGTTTTTTCAGCCGTTTTGGTCACAAATACAGGAAAACTCGGATTAATATCAATCCGTGGATGAAATAATAATAGATTATAATAGGGTTATTATAATCCGGTGATAGATTATTATAATCCAGTAATAGATTATTATAATTCAGTAATAGATTAAGGCACGGCAAAAAATTGGAAGGATTAGATTATTATTAATAATATCAATCATCAGTCATTAATAATAATATCAAACCCATCAACAACAATAGCCCCTTCTATGACGTCAATCCTGAAACCCTGTTCTTCAACACAAACTCGTACTCTAAGTCCAGTATATATGCAGACTGTCCCTTTTATGAAATGCTCCCGAGGAAATGGCTATCTCTATAGATCCAACTCAGAAAGGCTAAGTCTTTCAGAAATAACTGAAAAGGATTCACGGATTTTGATGGCGTGCGCACTGACATCCCTTTCACTTTGTTATATGGGTGTGTCTATGTGAGCTTTTGGCCGAGTTGTTGGAGAGTGAAGGAAATGAAGCTTTCCTAATGACTTTTCCTGACCTTAACTCGTTTTAAACTTTTGTTCCACCATCATGAGCCTTTTTGATATCACTAACGAGTGAATTACAACTGTGGGCATAATATCTTTCCATGTCAATCAAGAAAGGTACGGTGACCTTAAACCACAACTATAATTGAGAAATGACATCAAGAGTTCATAAATATAAATCTGTTTACCAGGAGATATCATTCTCCAACAGAAAAAATAAAAGAGGACATCTTAGAAGCTGATAAAGCTTCTACATGATGTCCACTTTTACATTTTCTGGGAGTGGATGGATAGCAAATTTTAGGCAGAAAGGTTAAGTATTGTGTAAGGCGTCAATGAGTGTTTGAGTCTGCTGGAGGATATGTGCGCCTCACTTTTGTCCAAACGATAGGAAAACATACCAGGGGCGGACCAGAAATCAGATCAGAAAAGGGGGCCGAAGAAATTGTGTTTTTTTTGGCGATCTCATAGCTGCTTTTTGCCAACCGAAAACTCGTTTTTTTGCGGATCACGAAACCGGTTTCCGCCGACAAAACCAATTTTCCTGACCTCATCTCTGATGAAGGAAAGATCTGGACATACGATGATACACTCTGGACGAGAGGACAACCAACACGCATAAGGCGCGGCGATCATCATGTACTGTCTGACAAATCAGCGAAGAGATTGATAGAAGTAAAGCCATTGAGGGAAAGACTCATCATAGCTAGAATTAACTCCAAGCACGCCAAACTTACTGTCATCACGAGCTACGCGCCCATATAGAACGCGCTGAGGAGGCGAAGAAAGAGGTATTTTACGACCAGCTACAAGAAGGCATTCAAGAGGTACCATCGCATGATAAGCTGCGTGTGATTGAGAGTTCAATACTCGTGTTAAGAACGACAAAGAAAGCTATTCTCGAAAACTATGCAGCACTTTTAACATGTAAAAATAACCTTGCACAACCTTCCAATTATAGGGTGACAGTTACCCTGAAAACTGCTATATATGGGAAAAAAGCCTGGTTCAAGAGAGGCAGAATATATGATTATTCGGCATCTTTTGAACCCTCTCCTCTCCCATCGGACAACTTCTGACTTTTCAGAGAGGGATGGGACGAAGAGCCTTGTGGCTCGCTACCATTGTGGAAGTTACCTACCCTATTTCGAGGGTAGCGACGCTTTCAAGGATATAAAGTAATTTCTTTATAGATGTCCTACAAATAGCTAAAAAGGCATTACCTTATGTAAGCCTTGAGCGAGGACCCTG